TTGTTTCAATGAAACAAATTTCAACCAAATAAATAGGAATACTAAATCCAAAGAAACCGTTCTCTCTGTGTAGAATCACATCTCGCAGGATATCGATAAAGTAACGATTATAGAGACAGGAGGCGTATAAATTATAAATGCGGATCTCTTTTTCTCGGGGAGTGACATTTGGCTCGTACCGCGTATCGACATGTACTATTGTAATGAGCAGATTTTTTTTTCTTTCAATAACAAACGCTACAAACGACGTCGCAAGTCGAAATTGTCGCATTACGGAGCGATAGAAAGCAATACTCGCGGCCTCGTTTAATTGTTGTCGGTTAATTACGAATGTATGAGTAAGTTGCGAGCGGCTATACGTTTTACACATGAAAGATTAATCCTACACAGTATAACACTTGATTTTTTTTCTACACGGAAATGTGAATGCGTCCGCGTATATTATATTATCAAATACGATGTAATTTATATTATATTGCAAATACCGTATATAATATATATATACATATATAATGATATATTTTATAACAAATTCCAAGTTGCTATGCGAAATAAAGGAGTCAAGTGCGAGAGCTATATATATAAAAAAAAACGAAGCTGAAGAAAATCACGAAAACTCTCTTTGTGATCATTTTATTTATATTCGATTTTATAATTGAATGTGCGCGTACGTGTAACCCCCTTCCCCCCATAGCGAAGTTTTGAGACCTATTTGAAGCGTCCGTTTATATATCGTCGAGGGTTAAACGTGGATGGAACCATTTATATGTACATGTGCTTTCTGAAATATTATATATCGTGATAAACACAATAATGTCGGAAGTGACAGCGGCGGCGAATCGCGTCGTTAATCACGTTTTTATAGTGTGTGAGAATTTTATCGAAGACGTTGCGCAAAAGTTTATCTCATTCTTTGTACAGAGTAAGAGAGAGAGAGAGAGAGAAAACAGTACAAGTTTTTTCCTGCAAGAGAAATTAAATAATATTACGGAACATATATATATATACGTATATATATACATATATCATGTATGTATAAGCTAGATTAATATCTAACTGCGTTCTCTCGAGGCGTATCCCCGGTGGTGGTCCTGCGCGGGACACATCGTAAAAGAGAATTGGATCAAGTCCAAATGATAACAAAAATTCAATTGCCGATAAGTTACGGCGGCGAGAGTCTCGTCGCTGCCGCTTGCGTGACAAGAGCGATTAAAAAACAACAACAAAAAAAGAAGAAGAAGCGCGCCCCGTTGATTGCCTCCATTATTTATCGTTTGTAGCGATTGTTTCTCGACAAAGCGAACGTTGACAGGATCGATCTGCGAAACGACGTGCGTTACGCGCGCGGATGCTGCAAATTGAGCCTCGCACCGCGGGACGTATTCCCGTTTCACCAAGCGAATTGTTTTTTTTTTTTTTTTACGGGCCGAGGAAAAATTTCCTGATCTCGTGAGCGGGCGAGGGTCTTTCCGCCCCCCTGTGGCGAGGCCGAGCGCGTAAACGAGGGATCGGCCACAAGTATTGTTGAGATATTTATGCGTTTGCGAATGTGCGTAATAGCGTCGCGACGATGATCGAGGAAAGTTTAATCCTAAATAGTATAAAACAATTTAAACGTGCACGAAAGTTTGGCAGGAGCGGAAGAAAGAGTTTCCTGGACTCGGTCCAAATTGTCCGTTTGAGTTCCAAGAATTGTAAGGATCTCTCGAAAGCTCGTACGACGCAAACACAGAGCTGATAATCTTCCTCGATTTTCTTTCGGACGTAGACAGGAATATTCTCTCTCTGCTTTTTTTATACTGTTGAGGATTAGACGTTAAGTTACTGCGGGGACGAGGATTGATGAAGGTACGCTCTTCACGGCGAAAGGGTGGAAATGAGAACGAGTTTCTCGTACATCGCGAGGGGGTAGAGAGGAGGAGGAGGAGGAAAGAGAGAGGGGACAGATAATATTCGTAATGTCGCACAGCAACGATTTGCGCGACGCTCGCTGTGCTTTGGATATTTTTGTACCTTGCGCGATATGAAAGTCCGATTACGTAGTTTTCGCGATAGTTTGCTCGCGATTAATGCCGCGGCTTCTCGATACGTTAGCGATCCTTTGCGAGCGCACTTTTCCGTATTAAGAAACGCTATGTGATGTTATTTCTAATTTGTAATAATACGGCAGTTTGTGCTGCGTTTGAGAAAATAACAGAGAAACGTGTATCAGAGAGGACTGTTGTCGATTTGTCTTGCTCCCCGTTGCCCCACGTTATCATCCTGGACCTCCTGTCGGAGATTCTGCAAAAACTTTATTCACGTTTCCTTCGCGGCGAGATAAGCGCGAGAATAAAACGCGCGCAGATAAACATTTTCCGATTATTGAAATACTAAAACAAATATATCCTATGATAAATGCAATAATTATTGCACAGTGTTATGCAACACACTTTGCAAGATGAACAATATACCAAGTATAAGCGCCATCCAATCGAGAATTATACAATTTAATTATTTGGATATATTTTGTTAGAAAAAAAAACATTTTTAGCTTCTCTCCAAAAGTGATGATATCATCAAATTGCGCCAACTAAAACGGATATTCAGACTAGATACCTTGTTAGTTTTGACATTAAAATGTTATATCCAGACAATCCAGCATTTAGGTCGAAGAAAAGTAAGCGAAATTACGATTCAAACTTTTGAGGATCAATTTGCGCCGGAGATAAATATAAGGTAACTTGGGATTTTGATGAAATCGAGAGAATTCCCAGTCGAGTTTGTGCAACCGAATGCGAGCTCGAGTTAAATAAATTGTTTACCTTTCACCTAGAAATTTGTGAGGTTCTGATTCTGAGCAAGTTTCATAAAAAAGGCCAAGTTCCAAAGTAGTTATACTTATTAGCACTTTCGCGAAGTCGTCGAAATGACTCGCGTGGAATAACTTGATCCGGCCCGAGCGAATAATCGAAATTCGTGTCGGGCAAGTGTTGATTATCGAAACATAATACCGGGATTGCGAGGCGTACACAAACAACGGCGTGAAACGCGCCGACGTGGCGACAAAGGAACTGTTGTTGCTCGCGAAAAATGTTTTTCGACATCGATATTTGCACAGAGTTTTCAGATAAAACGCTCGCGAAACTCAATATCCGTCGAAACGAGATAAATTGACGATAAGTGCATTATCAGCGGTGGGAGGGAAACTGTATTTATACGCACGACGGCCCGGGGATAATTTATAAATTTGCCCACGCCTGTGCAAACAAACGTCGGGCAAATTAATAATTGAATATGCGCGATACATTCAAGATACTCGCGAGCGTAAAACGCGAGGAGTCGGGATTAAAGCTCGAAACGCCGCAGCGTGTGGGGGCCGTATTGTTTCAACTAGTTCCCGCAATTATCA